AAATCAAATCTCACCAACATTACATTTTACAAGATTACATTTGAACACATTATAATGTTTTAATTTACCTTCACCCAATACTAATTTTCACTGAACAGAGCCTGAACACATCATAATATAACTGAGCGGAACCTTCGTTCGTTGGCGATCAGAGATCGGCGACTAGAAAAGCATGAATGCCGATGTCCTGATCGCATATTTGACTGAATATTGGCGGATAACAATCTTCGGTAAAACTTTATTTCACACTGTGATAGTTAACGTTAAACTGTGTAATTAATCCGCAGTTCACCTGCATGCCGAACCGTGAAGGGGATCACGGACACAGATAACAGTGGTCCGTTACACCACTAGCCTCTATATTGATGCTCTGAACCCCTGTGTATTGCACCTTGAATAGATTGTATTTTCAGAGTTAAGCTCCATTCTGTGGGCTCCATCTAAGCTTACAGAAAAGCTTTTGTTGTGTACTGTATATAAATTCATGACATACCCTTTGTAATTCTTGTATCAGATGAGGATATTTTGATTTACAGCGTTGTCCTTTCTGTGACCGCTCTCAACAAGTCACTGGATGTTAACAAGGAAGACAAACATCACCACCAACTAGCCATGGAGTCATTATATAATAATAATGTATTATAATAATAATGTAATAATAATAATTTATAATGTATTATTATTTATTAATAATGCAGCTTCCATAGTATATGATGTTTTTGAAATACAAAATAAGAAGTTATCATCTTGAAAAGCTTTTACGGTTTGGTAAGAAAAAATAATTATTGATGTTCTGAGTGTGCCGTCTGTGTCTTATTGCTATTAATATTTTAAAAGTGAAAGCTGATTTCGTTATGTGGAAATTCTGTTTGTGTGCGTTTGTGTGTGTATACACGAATGTGTAGGCTATGTTCAAGGACTTTTTGGTCAGGACGAAGTCTGTCAAAGGAACAACATGCATTCTTTTTCTTATCCATTTATATACAGTTTCATATAGCACCATTAGTTGGTTGACTGAACCACAGATGAGCTATGCTTTACAGAATCCAAATTACACAAGAGCCATTTTTCATTCCGTGGCACTCTTCACAGGCAAAGAGCCATAGATAGGCCTGTTCGCTTTCCTTATTTGTCCTTGTCTGCTGGAGGTTGCCTCTGGCTGACATAGCCTGAATTTAAGTGGACATCAATCTCGATAAAGAGGCAAAGCACAGAGTAATATTACCTCCTCGTATTTTTTTTATCTGTTTAGCAAGACAATGCAAATAAGCATGTCTCACACCACAAGCTGAAACACACACCTCTGATATGAAACAAAAATATTTGGATCTCACTGTGGTTTCACGGCATGTTGTCTCTTCGGTTTTACGTGTTGTGGCATCACAAGGGGACAGGTTGTGGAGGGGCGCTACATCCTCACCCAGGATCAGTGCCCACAACCCAAAATGGCCACCGGGCTAGAGACTACAACTCCCAGACTGCCTCATCAGGCACCCAGCTGCAGGTGCTTAAGGCCCCTAATTGAGGCAGGGCTGGGAAACTGAATAAAGGGCAGAGGGGAGAGCACCACGAGGGAAGAGTTGGGCCCGGAGTAGGAGAGAGGACGCCTACATGGAGGAACAGATACCAAGGACTTGGCAGGGTTGGATTACTTTTTTGGTGAAGAAACCACTTTCTCCTCCGGAACGCTTTATGTTTATTTCATGGACCTTTTTGTTTGATTTATGATTTTTGAGTTAAAGGAACTGCCAGTGGGACGGACCAATAAACCTTTATTTTTGCTTATACTGTCTGATTGTGCCTGTTTTACGCTCTCTTTTGCACTGCCCCACCCTAGGGACAACCCGTGACACTACAGTGTCTATATCTCGACACAGTCTCAGCTGTTGTTTTTAACACCCGCAGCTTAGAATAGGACAATATGTGTCTATTTGTATGGCTGTGTCGTGATGATAAAAAGATTTCCTCCGCCTGGCCGGTGGCCTATCTCAGTGCTGCAAAAGTGATGCAGGGAAAATTTGGCTCAGAGGTGGCAGCCATGCCACAGAGGACTGGACTTCATGCACTCCTCATAAATGATGGTCATTAATTCTCCATGTAGGTAGAGTTTTTCCACGTGCGGTGCAGGAGCCCTTCTTCTGGGACAAAGTCGTACCCCGGCCACGTTCAACCCAATCAGCACCACTTCTCATTCGTCTATGCCCTCTTTTTTCTCTCTCACTCTTTACCCGTCGCTCCCTGTCTGCTCTCCCTCAGTTATGTATGAAGACAGATTTCTCGGCTCTCTCTGTTTGACGAGCCCATCTGATAAGTTGCAGACAAGTCACCATGGTTTCCATCATTTGTGATGCTTGAGGCACTCTTCTTTTCTCCTATTATGAAATATGAGTTGTTCCCAGTTGGCTCCCTTGACCTAAATTTTCAGTATTTGCACTTGAGAGTTTTTAAGCTCACGCTTGAATTGAGATTGTTTTTTTTAATGTGTTTGTTATCAAGTAAGCAGACATACCTGAGGCAGTTGAATTAATTTGCATTATAATCAGACTGAACAGCAAGCTATATTGCAACGCCAAGTTCAAAATTCAAAGTGTTTTGCCTAAATTGCAGTTTAGCGCCAAGAAACGCATTATAGCAGCTGATCAGCATCAATGCAAATGAAGAAATAGTAGAAGTGTCATCTACTCGCAGACCATATGGTTGCACAATGGTGCGATTGAAGTACTACAGAAAACCATTTGGCACCGACACAGTCTGTATAGTAAAATCACAGCAAGCCTCACAGATTAGATTGTTCTTTGTTAACAAACAGAAAAGTTCTTCAAAGGCTCAGACTTCCACATAATTTGAAAGGGAATCGAGCCAGAGCTGCGCTCCCTCTGCCATTAGTGACCTCAGGTCCAAGAATGACAAAAATAATATATATATATATATATATATATATATATATATTATTCTTTACAGTATTTGTCTCTTAATATCCCCTTTACATCATAGCTACCTTTTTACAAGGAGTAATATTTTATATATTTTTCAGTTAACATCCATTGTTTTCATATGTTTTTTACAGTTTCCGTCATTTTGTATTCCGTTTTTGGTCTGTTCTCTGAAAAGGTATTTGTGCCTTCACAGCTTGGGTATACATTGTACTTATATCTTATGATGGGTGGGGTGACTGATAAGGCTGTCATGAGCATGTAAGAGGCCGTTGTTTCTTTTGTCTCCAACCGACAGGATGACCTTATTTAGTAAGGACATATTTGTAGAGTCAACACGACAGCCTGCTGGTGAGGTCTTGTCCTGGGAGGTCTACGGATACAGAAACCTCTCCTAACAGACTATTTAAGTTCTGTCTCCAGATCTGGGACTCGCTCAGTTATGAGTTAGTGGTTTGGTGATGTCCAACTCCCTGGAGCACGCCATACAAACGCAGAATTGCCATTACAGAGACTGCGGCACATTAGTGTGTAGACCCTGTGGACTTGAGAGCACTTTAGCAGTGTTTCTGTTTCATGGCAACATCCATTAACACTCTTAACCTCTAACGAACAACAGCTGTTGTCTCAGCTACTGTGAAATCTGCACATCACAGCTGAAATGTTAAATATTTTTAACACAACATCTTATTTTTACATGATCGGTGTTAATTGAAAGTAACGAAAACAAATTGGCTCTGTGGAGATGATAATGGTAAGTGTAAGGCCCTCTGGCTTGTCCCCACATGAGGATATTAATAAGCCATTGACCTTATAGAATTCAATGCCCCGCAGCGGATGTAGATAAACGCTTGGCTTTCAAAAGTTTTATTAAATCAATGACTCATCAGTGCTATTTGTTGCATGTAGCCTAACAACATTTTCTTGATTTGGTTAAGTTGATCTACATGAACATTGAATTTGCCCCAAGACGCATTCACGCTGCTTCATACAGCACATGTATTTAATGAGAAGGTGGAAGTAATTGCCAATACTGTGGTCATGTAGTGATCAGAAGGCAAGACATAATCATTTGCTGTTGAGGTTATGACCTTCGGTTAATAGTGTAATCTTTTAAATGTCAGAAAATAGTCCAACACAATTCCCCAGAGCCCTAAGTGATGTATTCAAGTTGTTTGTTATATTCAATTCATAGTCAAAAACACAAAAGTATTCAGTTCACAGTGATATAAGATAGGGAAAACAAGCAAATCCTCACATTTCAGAATCTGGAAACAATTTTGGTCCTTTTGCATGAAAAATTACCAATTATCAAAAATAGTCAGAAATAAATATTTTTTTAAACAGATTCTTGTTTTATTATTGATTAGGCTGGCATAGCATTTAACTAAATTCAAATAAGTTAAAGTGGAAATTAAAAGCTATTTCATTGGTTTTCTGTGGAGTCAACCTGTTTTTTTTTATTTTCTGTGCAAGCTGACAGAGCCTGACACACTGCAACATAAAGGAACATGAGCAATGTGAGGAAAAAGAAGAAAACAAGCTTGAAAACACAAGCTAAAACAAAAAACCCACATGAAGAAAATGCAAGAGAAAATAGGAGATACACGCAATTACAGGAACCCTGTAAGCACACAACTTAATTGAGCTGCAACACAGTAAAATGCATCCAGGGATGTGAGTAGAATCCTTCCTGCTTGTGTTTTATGATTGTGTTTCCCACATTTGCAGTGAACTTCTAAATGTTTAATCAAGCTTGTGAATATGTTTCCTCTATTTGCTTGTATTTTCTTAAGTTGCAGTGCACTGGGTCCTCTCAAGTGCGCTACTAATATTGGACCCTGCAGCATAACGCGAGACGGGAATGTGTCACAAAGCAAGTGCACGAGACCACATAATACTCCTCCTTTGTGTTTTAAAAAACTTGAAGTTTTAGAAAACTTGCCTCTCCACTTAGATACCTGTGAAAAGTGTAAATTTAATTGAATTTGTTTGCTTGAATCTCTGCACTCCCCCCCTCCCCCTCCCTGCCACACCCAACCTTTTTTTTAACCTCTTTTATGACAGATGCCATGCTGCTGGTGGCGCAGAGGCTGGAGGGACCTTTCAACATTGAATCTGTCATGGAGCCTATTGATGTCAAGATTTCAGAGGCCATCATGAATATGCAAGATAACAGTGCCCAGGTCTCCTACAGGGTACGTCAATTATGTGTGTTCCCCAGAGAACAAAAGTAACACCTCAGATAGGTTCTTGAAGTCCAACTTGAAGGGAAACTAGGGGAGCAAGGACTTTCTTTTAGTCATGCTGGGCTGTGTCTAAGGTGTGTAGTACAACACGTTCTCATTATGTCCAAGTTTAGGTCTTGTATTTGAATTACATGTTTCGATTTGGTCAGATAATCTTAGTTCAACTAACAGTAGTTAATGTGTTTCCTGCGTTTTACTGCATTTTTCGTTTGCCCGCAAAATTGTAGTCGAAAAAAATAAAATAAAATGTAGGTGGTTTGTGAAGATTTCTTTCTGCCTACACAGTTTTGAATGCCTGTTCTCATTGAAAGATAAATGCTCTGTTGGCTTTCACATGCAACAGATGCAGTTTTGTTTATGGTTTAAGTATATGTGGTATTTTCCCAAAAGCCTGTAAAAACTTAAATCTATCATCTTAAATAGCATTGGTCACAGCCCCAAGTTGAATCACCTATCAACGTGGTTACCTCAACTTGACGAAGAGCACTGTCACGCTGGTAATGTGGGGTGAATGCTTCACAAGACCTTAACAAAACAGCATGTTTTCCTATTTTCCGCTTCCCGAGTAATTTAAACCCCTGACAGTTGGGTGCCCATGTTTTTGTAATTGCAGGTTTTTCAAGGCTGTGGCCAGCCAAAACCCGCAGGAATGACTAGGTCTGCCCGTGGTGTTCCGGATGTGTTCCACGCTCGCTTCAGGCCGTACAGCCCAGAGGAACGGCCTACCACTGCAGCTGGCACAAGCCTAGACAGACTGGTAAGGAGGCCGAGCCAATGCTGCTGTTTTCAGACGAGACACTGCTTCAGTGTAAACATCATTTGTCTTTCTGACTTGACACTGTTGATTAAAGCTGGTGATTTGCCATCGTAAGCCCCCGGAGCCGGAAATTAATTCTTTGTACTTGTCCTCCATTCAGGCCCCTCTATCGATTTGTGTTTGTTAACGAATCAACAGCTTTACCCCAAGAGGGCAGGAGGAAGGTGTGTTGTGCTGCCTTCAGTGTCCTTCTCATCTCTGTGTACTTGGCAAACAGAAAAGAAAGGGATGAAAGAGGAGATGGATAGATTTTTTGAGGCTGACCATATCAATTGTTTGCTGTAAAGCGCACCTTTATTTTCTATCAGATTACCTGTATGTTTGTTGGGCTGGATCTTGATACATGGATTTCCATCTCAAACAACCTTGAAACCTAAAATGCTGCATCAGGGTAAAGGTTAACACGGAGCTGACAGACCAATTCAGCTGAGAGACAGTTCTCATCACGGATTACCTTTGCAGCCACAGTGCCCTTCCTTTCTCCCCTCTAGCCCTTTTCAGAGTAAATGTTTTGAAATTGTATCTTCGTTGTGTTGAAGACACCGGAAACCCAAAAATATTGTTTGCATTATTGACCTTTGAGAAGTACCGAATGTATGAATTCTATTTGGCGGAAAGGCAGTTTCGCCCACAGAGTTTAAAACATGCTAAATCAAATGTCTCAGAGCTTTGTGGCAGGTTAATAACAGCTCATGTAGATAATGAATACATCATTTGAAAAGCAGCAGTTTTTTTGCCATCTGGCTCTACGAATATCCACCACAATAATTTAGTTATTTGTTTAATTCAATGCTAATTATGTTTTTGCACAAACCAATTCATTCTCCACGCAGTTTTAATGTCTCATGTATAGCAGTTGCCTTTTTAGCTTTTCATGTCCGTCAATGATTTCTTCCACCTACACTGAATTAATTAAGACTTTCTCTTCCCCTGCCTTTATGCTGCAAACCAGAGGATTGTTTGGAATGCGATGCAACACAGTGTAAGGTTCAACATTTTATACCCATTTCAGATGTTTTTTGTTGGGGACTATTGTCTGCGACTGTCTTCTGCATTATGACAGAGCAAACATGATGTTTTAATGTTGTGTGGTTCGGGGTACATAGTGTTCTAAGCATTATAGATATTTACAGCAAACAAGCATCGTGACCTGTAAATCCCAGTAGTATCCGGCACTCGGTGTGCCAAGTGTCACTCTCACTTCCATCTCACATGTGGAGTCGGCGTCACCGATATTGGCCACTATGTTGTGTGTTATAGCATCAAAGTATTGGCTGTTAAACATGGCATTATTCAGATGAGTTGCTAACACCAACAGGGATTATAGACCACATGCAACAATGTCCTCAGCTAGTGAGGATTCCTCTCTAGAGATCCAAGTTTCGTCAACCACCACACCTTTTCTTGACACATCCCAGACCAAGACGCTCAATGCCATAGCTAATAGAGCCAACTCCTTCAGGAAGCCAACCAATCAGCAGGTCACCTGCTCCGTCAGAAGTGGAAGAGGTGAGAGCTGTGAAGTGTTGGTGCAATGGTACAGTGACGATAGGGGCTCCAGATTGCTCATGAATAACTGGGCAATTAGCCTGCTAAGATTAGACTGGGCACAGTGACAGGGGCTTATTTTCAACATGCGATAACTAGACCAGTGTACCTGAGCAGCAAATTCCATTATAAACATCATGAGGAATGTGCATGAGGAATCCATGCTGATCATAGTGGCCACAGGAAACGGCAAATCATGATATTTCCATAATGTAATGGGGGTTGTTTGGTTCATGAAGAGAATGCTTGGTTTGTCTTTTTGCTTTGTGCGGTTCACATACATTATCTCAACCGCTGTCAGGTGGTGTCTGCTGAAAATCACAACGGAGCAACATTAGCATTCATTTGGAGTCATGGTTCAGACAAATTGATGGATATTCACTATGCTTTTGGCCTCCGCTAATTCCTGAGAAAATATCTGGCTCTTTAGCTGCTAAATGCTCCACAATGTTCACCAGCTAGCTGTTAACTTTGTCTGCCTGCTGTTTGGTGCTGAGCAGATAGTGTACATTGGGTTTATTAGAGCTTTTTTCACTGAAACAGCCGTCTGCTGTGTCCGCAAAACTCTTTGCTGATTAGAGCAGAACGAGAGAACCGAAGGTTGCCGGCCTTCAAACCAAGACAATGAGCTAAAACATGCTTTAAAGCTCAGTAGAGCTGAGGAAAATGCAGAATGAGGTGATAATTCTCTGTGGGTTTTTCACTAAAAACCACCCCTTTCACATACAAGTAGTAATGTGAAAGTTATGCAAGAATTGATAAAGGACACTTCATATCCACTCATATTTGACTGGTAACTTATCAGCTGCCGTGTAAAGCATGTCAACACAGCTGAGTGTGGAAATACTGCACCTGAAGGTATTGCTCTTCTAACTGCAACTAGATGTTAGCTCAAAGATTTCTAAGACTAAACCTCTGCGTTTTTTTAGAAATACAATGTCAACAACTATTAATATATGATAACTTCAGTATTGTTAAAAGAAACATAAAAACAGCCAGCAACTGTTTTAGTCAAGTTAATAGTCATAGTGATTAGGTTTCTGATTATGAGCTGCGATAACAAGTGTTCAACACATAAAATCAAGTCAGAGGGCCTTTACAAGCCAAGCTACTGTATAACATAAACCTGTTTCCTATTAATAAAACCACACTTACACTACATACGGTTTAACACCTGCTGAAATTCTCCTGCATGTTTAATTCAACTTAATGGTTTCATTTAGACAGTTACACCGTGCAGTTAAAAAAACTGTTGAGTGTGTTATAAGTATACTTCAACAGTAACATTTAACTGTTTAATATCATAAATCAAAACTGGCATGCTAAGTGCTTATGTGAAATAGTTTTATGCAGTAAATGAAAAAGCCACAGTGGTTATTATTTAACATTTGGTGCTCTCAGCTAAAGATGGTAAAAGTTCTGTTCAGACAGTGAAACATAACCTTCACCATTGTGATGAGTCGTGTTGTGGTAAAATTGTATTACTTTATTGGCGGCTGAGATTTGCTCAGCTAACATTAAATTCAAACATCTAACAGGATAACGTTGGTTATAAGCATATACCAAGCAAGCAAAGGCCTGGCAACAACACACAGAAAGATATTCTCAAAATGTATTAATAGCCTAGATATAGTATTATTACAAGTATACATTTCTAACTTGTGAAAAGTTGTGTAAATGTATTTCTATTGAGGTCCTGCAGCTGACATCACTGCCTCTAACAGCCACCATACTGGAAGGAAGAAATGTGCTTCTCTCTGTCTTGCCACATATAAATGCATCAATACTGACTGCTGAGGAAGCTTGCTCACATGAGCTAATCTTATTAAAGGAAACTTCCACTATACCATACATACTACCATACCATACTAATGGAAGAAATATTCCTTTGCAGTGATCATTTATAAATAAAAGTGCAGGCAACATAGAACTAAATAGAATCAGTTGATTCTGAACACAACATGGTCTGCATCATCACACAAAAAATGAAGCCTGCAGCTGGATGTGATCTTCACTTTGGTCGCATTAGCTTATTACGAAAGATGTGGAATCCTCAGTGGTCATTCGTTATATTTATAATTTAACATGCATTTCTTCTCTTAGCGTGGCAGTGACAGGAAGGATGGTTGAGCTGGTGGCTGAAAATATTCCCCATTGATTTGGTTTAGGCTGCTTACTAGGAAGGATGCATGCTATTATTTGTTTAGCCAAGTCAATTTAATTTATATTGGGCCGGATCACAATAGGAGTTATCTTGTGAGACTTTACATATAGAGCAGGTCTAGACCATACTCTTTCTAAATAACTGAGTAGTGGCAGTAGACATCACTTCACATTCACATTGTATCTCTCTGGTTGTTTAAACTTAAGGTGATACAGGTGGTCAGGGACCTTCTATGAAAAGCAATTTATTAGCCATCGTTATTTATGAACTCGGTTCTTGCTTCCTCCCTTCGACATGTCCGCTGCAGTCAGCAATAGGTTGTTAGTAATATTTTTGAAAGGGTCAGATATTGACCATTGTGTCAGTCTGTAACTGCGGTGGTGGGAAAGTTTTGCCACGGTTGTCGATTCTCTTTCCATTTCCAGCATGAACAAAATACAGACGTTCAAACATAGGGTTGGCTCTTGGAGTCTTGGTACGAAAAAAATGACAAAAATACAATAAAAAATAGAAACTAGTTTTTCCCTGAAGCTTTCTGTCAGTACGTGAGTCTTAATTGAAACAGCTGCATGTCATTGTTTCACACCTCTATGGTGTATGTTCAGAATAGGTGTGAACGTGTGAGTCTCATGTAGCTGCTGCCTTGTGCCATCATTAACGTGGCAGCATTTATGTGTTGATCTTGCAGCAGGGACATGACTGAATTCGCTGTGAGAGCACATCTTTGTTGTCCCACACACTGTCCTCGTTTACATTCTGGCACGAGATGAATTACCTGCGACAGTGACACTACTCAGCCTTGTGAAACTTGACAGTTGTTTAAGGTGTCCTTTGATAAGAAATTCTTGTCCCGATTTTACCGTTAAGCTTTTGAGTCAAAGAATGTGCAAGGGATGGCAGGATGAGCCTGCATTCATTTCTTCTGTTTGCCTATAGAGAAGCCTACAGGAGCGGGCCCACCTCCAGCTCAATGAGCCATGACTGTTTAATTGCCTGACATTCTGTCAGAGCACACGCCCTCAAAGCTCTGAGAGAAATGGAGATTTGAAAGTCCAAAGAGGGGATAAAGGCACAACAGACTGTCAGGCTCAGAGGCGGATTATAGATAAGAGGTGTAGCTTTTAATTTGACATTTGTAACAAGTTTGGTGCAGTTCAATTTAGTGTAATTGTATCGGTCCTTTTTGTCTCCCTTGTGTTATACATGGTTCGCATTTTATCAGTATGGCACTATAAACAATAAGAGCAAGACACAGATAAGACTAGACTGTAGAGAAAGCCTGTAGGGAACAATATTTGCCATAACTTTATGTTCCTTAATAGCTTTGGACTCTCTTTACATAGCTTTCAGAGTCTTGAATGTCAGTCAGATGTAACTTTTGATTAAGACGTCAACAGCGACTACAAGGTTATTCATGTACACGCTCTTCCCTGATTATTAATAAATGAAACCCAGGTCATCATTTACCAGCTCCAACAGGGATTAAAAACACTCACTTTATTAACGCTAGCTCTGATAATGAGTTTTTACAGAATTTAATTGAAAAATATCTGAAATTCTTGGAATCTTTTTTAAAGAACAAGATGGATTTCGAATGGTTTTCACCACTTTCTTTCACTGTTCTCAGTTCAAGTTAAACATGACCCCCTTGCAACTAGTACTTTCCAGAAAATAAGACAAAACGTGAAAAAATACATTTGAGTTTTTAATTATTTATTAAGTACTATATTATCCATTTTTGTATTACAAATGTTTCCAAATCGGATTTTCATCAACATGTTTGCATATTGTTAAAGCTAGTTTTGGTAATATTAAAAAAACATTTTTGTAACATTATTTATAATTATTTTCTGTTTGTGCACTCATTGCACATTACTGGAGTCTCCCGCACGCTGCTAGCTGTAAGTGCTTACAATGGAAGTGTTTGTTGTTTACGTTCATGATGATAATTTTGGTGGAGTGGCTTTTATCAGTGCAGACATGATTTACTCCTGCCGTTCTATTTCCTTCCTCTCCTTGCCTGTCTCACCTTGTCAAACATTTTTTGTACTGTTGCCCTAAGAAAATGTGTTTTGGAAACCAAAGTCAACAATTGACGCTGTATGCAGCATGCATTCAGGCATGCGCCCCAAGGTTAGTCTAAACTTGCTACAGCAATTCCCGACTGCTGCTTGAAACAGAACAACACTTCACATAATCTTGCAGGAAATAGTCTTCATGGAAACTGCTAGATACTCACAGCGGTTACCAACAGAGGGTCACAAAATAAA